GGGACAGCGGCTCCGCCAGGGCGACGGGCCGCGGTGAGTCCCTTGGAGGGACTGCTGCAGGGTAGCTTTGCTGTTAGAAACAGCGTAATTGGGCTGCTCCGGCCCAAGAGCGCTTGGGAGACCAGTGCGTTTGTGCACAGCGGTGTCTGCAGGGACAAATTTTGACTTAAAACCCGTGCTTCGAGCAGCCCTTTTCACTGTGCGCTTTTGGGTGTTTATGGCAACGCGTGTCTTGCTTTAAGAGTACATAGTCATCCCCAAAAGCAGTTAAAAGCTGAGGTTCTGTTCACCCAGAATTAGGGCAGTAACTCAAAGCTGTGTCCCTGTTAACTCAGATAAGCATTTTTCATTTAATGTAGAAGTTAGATGCTAAAAAAAAAAATAGAGTAGCTGTTTCCAGGGAAATGGGACATCTTTACACGAAGGGAAGTTGCACTCTGACTGGATTTGCCTGTTGTAAGGATTTATAATCCTGTTAAGAGAGATTATGCCTGGTAATTTTATGCACATTCAGTCTCCCTCTAAGGCAAAGCTAAGGCATTAAACTCTCTTCACTAAGCATTTCAGATTGGATTTAAACTGCTGTTCTGGATGCAGAAGGCCAAAATTCCATCCACTTCGCCACTACAATGCTGCTAAAATAATCTGTTGAAATGTGATTTTGCACATAGGAAGCAATCCTGGAGTTCTTCTTTTATAGGCAAGACACTCATTGACTTCACGTGTAGCTTTGCCTGAATGACAAATGCACAAAGTATGCAGTCGAAACCATACTGTTAGTATTTTTATATTTAAGTTACTGTGCATAGAATATATTTATAGTCAAAATGTCTGAGGAGATATGTACTGTAGTATCACTAATAAATCCACAGTGTCTTTCAAAAGGTATTTTTTCTTTTCTTTTCCTTTCTTTTCCTCTTTTTTTTTTTCTGTTTTTGTTTTCAACTAGGACCCCTACTATGGCTGGTGGCCTATTTTCTATTGACAGAAACTACTTTGAAGAGATAGGAACTTACGATGCAGGAATGGATATCTGGGGTGGCGAGAATCTTGAAATGTCTTTTAGGGTAATTGCTGTTTTCCTTCATTTTCTGTCAACCAACATAGTTATGCTGTAACAGTTCCTACATTGTAGATAGGACACTTTTGTTTTAGCTATCATGCAAGTCGTGGATTAATTTAAATTCTCAAGATACTTGAGGATGCCTCATTGTAGTATTTTGGTCATTTTTTTTTATTGCATGAAAAATTTCATTATTGTTTGGAAAATTGGGGTAATATATATTTTAGTAATATCTTCTTGTATAAAAAACAAGGCTTTTCCTGAGTTAGTACAAATGCTAACTAACATAAATAAGGTATAAATGTGTATAGTATAAAAAATCCAAATGCGTGTTTTAAAAGAAGCTTTCAAAAGTGTATGTCATCATGAATTTGCAAGTTCTATCAGGAATTTTTATTCTTTTTTATATATGAGAGCCAAGCTGCGGAAGAGTGGCTTTATTTCTGTTAGCGATAGTATTTTGCCCATGACAAGAACAAAATTTCTCTGAGTGAAATGAATTTATTTATTAAATGTCCTTTTGTCACAAATGAAAACTGGAAAATTGAGACTTTAATAAACAAATTTTTAGACAGGATGTTGAAAATGACACTGAGCATCTCTGATGTATCATAATTTTTACATGTTAAGTAAGTATGCAAAATAAAACCTGGTATACCTGTCTACTTCCTCCACAGCATTATGGTTATATCCTTCTTTTCTTCTTTTTTTTTTTCCCTCTTTTGTTTTCAGGGTTGGGGTTGGCGGCCTATTTGCTATTGACAAAAACTAGTTTGAAGATTTTTGTCAAGCAGATATTTCTAGAGGAAATCAACTGAGAATTTGGAAGGATTTTCAGGCCATTTTCTGTAAATGATACATCATTCTCCTTCCAGTAAAGCAGAAGGGTAGAGCTACCCTTCTGAGTGTTAATGTTTTGAATCAGTGGGTTTTCCACATTTTTAGATTTAGACCCTTAAAAGTATGCATTGAATGCCCCTGTATAGGGGCTTATTTTTAACTTAAACTTGTTTGACCTTAGGTTTGTTTTTCATATTGTTAGAAGTTGATCCATGAGCCAGAGAGGGAATAGCAGGGTTTTGAAGTACTAAATATGCAGATTTAACCTAAGATATGCACATATTACTGCTGCTTACTTTTCATTGAGTATCAAAGTCAAGTTTGTGATTTCTGATAAGTGAAGTTCCTCTAGTTCACTGAAATTTTAAAGTCAGAACTGTCGATGCCCATTAAACCCTGACGGAGTGAATCTCGAGGCTATAGATTCTTATTGCTTACAGAAGGCCTTTTGCAGAACCAGTTTTGGGCCATTCCTTTGGAAAAGTCTAATGCTCATTACTGAAGAGGCTAATCTATGTAATGCTGTTTTTGGAAAAATGCTGGGTCTTCATCATGAACATTTTTATCCATAAAAAAGTAACCCTGGTACAAGGGGACTGACAAAGAGATTTTTATTAAGAGTGCATAATGGAGAACATGGAAACTTATTCTTTTGGGGCTCCTATTGGCGCTGGCTATATTTTTTAGACAAAGATGCAGATATTGACAATTTTTCAGTCAGGCCCTGCAAATGCAACAAAATAAAATAATTTACATTTCCATGCTATTTCCCCGCTCCTGTGCATAATATATTCTTTATGGCTGGAAGCATTGATTTTCCGCTGACAGCGGCATGTGAGCGTGTACTTAGCTTCAAGCGCACCTTAATGATATAGCCTGAATAGGACATTCTTAATGCAGTCTTGCTTGAATAGTGCTAATATATTTTGAAAACCTTTTCTGAGAAATTTAGTTACCTAATGGAGTTCTTTCTTGTCATCTTGCTCCGTTTTACTGTGGCTGCTCAGGATGCAGCTGAGTATCGTGGTGACCAGCAGAAGGCTTGAGCGCCGTCAGCAGGGACTAACGCGAGAGGCAATACCGCTTCAGTTACTCACGGCATTTGAGAGAACGTCATAGCCTTAAAACAGAGGCAATTTAAAGGACATAACTTTAAGTAGCAGCCAATCCAACTGTATGGAGTAGGCCCATCCCGTGGAACTTGTGCATGGTTCCCAGTGTGTCCCATTAGACCCCAGTTCCATACCGGGTGTCATGGGAGACACAGACTGGGAAACTTACCTGCCCTTGGTGCCTGTCAGGCCCTGCTGGCACCTCGGAGTCTGAGCCGGGAAAGCTGAGCATGTGGCATGGTTCCCCCAGCTCCTGATCTGCCTGATTTGGGGGTCAGGGTAGTAGGGAGGTTTAGCATAATTAGTGGCTCTGCGGAAGTCAGTGGCAAAACTCTCATTGCCTTACACAGGGGGGCTTCATGCCTCCGTGTTTGATAGGACTTGTCTGGCTCTGTTGTTTTGTTTTGTTTTGTTTTTCCCCCCGGGTGATCGTGGCTGGAGGTCTGACTCAGTTTGTGTTTGAACATTATCCAATGCTGATGGGAGTTAGAGCAGTCTGAAGGCACTGTAAGGTGTGTAGATTTTGTGAGAATGTTTTCATGAGATGTGTGAATTTCAAGTTCACATTAAAAATATCTGTCCAAAATATGTGAGAAGACCAAGACCAATAATAGCAATGTTCTCAGTAGAAGATATTAGTGATAAAAGCTGCATTGACAACAAGAAGCTTTGCAGTTACTCTTCCTTAACTCATTAAAACTAGTGGGGGGAGAGAGGGCTAGAAAGCTTATGAATTTTCTGATTAACTCTTTGGGCAGCACATTCGAAAACCTCATTTTTTGTCTTCAGAAGATTTTCCCACTTCAGCTTCAAGAAACATTACCAGCTTGAAAAGCATGCATCAGAGTAATAAGAGGGCTTGGTATCAAGAATAGAAATAAAATGATACGTTTTCAGTGCAGGGAGATTACCATGGAAATGGAAGGCATTCACGCTATGCTGTTTCTTAGTGTTTAGAGCCGTAGTATTTAAAGAAAACCAAGCATGAAGTCAAACGTACTGAGTAAGATTGATCAATAAAATACCCGAGGTTTCACAATTTAAAAATAAATCTGATGGAAAAATATTTTTCAAGTATTTAAAAAAATATTTTCACATTTTTCTGTTGAAAAAACCTCACAGGAATGAAGTGCTTCTACAAAGCTTTCATTATTTTTATTAGCCCTACTGAAGCTTACTGATGCTGCTAGCTTTTACCTAGAGCCATGTAACAAGCTCGCACCTTGCTCAACACCAGAGAGCCCTACAGGTGAATCTTCATTGACCAAACAGATCTGTCCCTGTAAAAATGTAATACCAATCCCTATGTCCCTTTTGATCCTTCCTTTTTTGCCGTTGCTATCCTTTTAACATGCCCTAGTCACAGAAAAAAATATCAGCTGGAAATTGCATCTTCTGAAACGCTTATGTTGAACAACCTTGAGTACTGAATCTATAGAAAATAAAGCTACTTATGTAGCTGAGAATGCCCTAGGATGTTCCTAGGGTTGGGAAACAAAGGATTGGTGCTGAGGCCCTGGTGAAGTTCAGAGCTGTGCTGAGGAGTGGGTTCAGACTGGTTTCCTGGACCCACTGTCCCTCCGCACACAGTTTGCTGCTGCCTGAAGGACCAGTCCCCGGTCTGGACCCGTTGAGTCCCTGTCAGAGATTAGGGGCAAGTGATGCACATCGTAGGCAGAGCTCCGGCATTAGTTTCTCCTTGGTGAAGTCTAGGTCACGCACAGCAAAAGCAGTTTGCTAGCTCAATTAGTGCTCAATAAGTAGGGATTTAAGGGAATTCCCTTAAAACTACACTGCTGCTCCAAACCAAAATGCTAATGTAAGTAATCATCTGTAGATGGTATAGATTGATCTGCATGTTAATGTGGAAAGTTACTCTAAGGTATCAGCCAGTGATAACCAACAGTTGAGTCCTACAAAGTGTTATGTGTTTAGGTATAAAGTCTAGGTATATTGTTTGCTTCCTTCATAAAGATCTTTCAGTCTCGTTGCATGGAAGGTTCCTCACATTCAAGGTCGTTCTGTTGAGAAAGATCTTTGCAAGTGCTGTTGTCACCCAGCTCAGTGGACAACCAGAGGAGGCAGTCTCCACGGTCAATGCAGTCGGTCTGTCACCAGTTCAGTTCCACCCGAGCTAGTTATAGGGGAGATTCGGATTCGGTTCAGATTCGTGTGGGTGCTCGTGCATCAGTGCAAAAGGTGTGAATGAGCCCTGGGTCGCTGGCGTAGACTCAGCTGACCTGCTGGCACTGACCTGAGGTGTTAGCAGGTTTCTGTGACTTTTATGTTACCTATTTATTTTTCAGTGTTTGAGTTTCTCCTCGATTATGTGTTCATTGTTATTTACCCCTCTTACATCTTAGCATGCATTTTATCCTTTTCTAAAATGGTGCTGAAGAATTCCAGTTATCCATTGGATTTAGGCATACCTAAATCCCTATGTACTACGTAGTTATTATGTATTTATCAAACCAGAATCTGCTCTGGATGAGGGAATTCAGATAGCTGTGTTTAATGAAGCCTGAAGGATTTCTGTCTTAGATCTCTTTAAACTAAAAGTCATTGCATTAGTGAATGTGCTCAAACAAAATAAACAGAAGAAAACAGCTGAATAAAAAGTAAAAATATTTCATAGTATATCCCTATATGCTCTAATAGTGATAATTCATCAGGAAGGCACTTGCATTAAGGGTTTTGGTTTTCCTTAGCTGATCATCACTAAAGTAATGGCTCTCTCATTCTGTTAATCCATGCATATGCTATTTGTTATTGCTGATTTCAGTTTTCTTAGATGTTCCTCAGCAAAATAATTGCATCATAGTAATAAATACTGTGCAAAGTCATTTGATAGTCAAATAATCCAAAGAGTAGGACATACCTGATGTTTTATATTAAATAGTGCTTACTTGACTGCTCTTAAAATGCCGAAGTTGTTAAAAGTCAAGACTGTGGCTCTTGGCTTTCTAAAGCAGAAGACATCTTAAATATCAAGGAAACATAACCATCAGGATAGTGGTGGTAGATAAGAGCATTTTTTACAACCTCCAGAAAA